AGCCTGATTCATAACTACTAAGCTACCAGAGCTCCTTAGGCACTTTAAATGTGTTTCTTAAATCTTCACAGCAACTTTACCAAAAGTAGATTGAATATCTTTTTTTTTTCAAATGAGGACATTGAAATGAGACTGAGAGGTTAGGTGATTGTAACTAGCCTCATAATTAATAGATTTGAAAACCATGATTTGTATGGTTTCCTAAGTCCATGTTCCTAACTACTGTGTTATAATACTCACCCTATGTAATATGGAACTTTATCTACTAACCCTTACAATTAATCAGTCACAGTTTAGTTCAACCTACTGATTTTCAAACATTTGAATAGTTCAGTATTAATGTAACACAGAAACCCAGTCTATAAAACATAAAAATCAGACTACCCTGGTTAAAAAACAGGCTAGGTGGCCTAGAGCTTCCTGTGTACAGAACCTGTGAAACCCAAGGGGCTGGATTTGAATTCAGTTTGTACTTTTTTTGTATTATGTTTGTTTATGGTTTTGAGGCCTAAAGCAAATACCTTCTTCTGATCAAGATGTTAAAAACATTCATAAGAATCGGGTTTGGTCTTTTCATCATGTTTCAATGAATAACTGTTAATTGTTAAATAAAGAAAAATCTTATTTTATAAGCTTTAAATATAAGCCTATAATGTTTATCCCATGTTTGTTTTGAAAGTTCTTAAATTACATTTGTTTCAGATCGGGCAGAGGACGGAAATTAAGTGGTGACCAAATAACTTTGCCAACTACAGTTGATTATTCATCAGTTCCTAAGCAGGTAATTTAAAAAAATGTTGAATAAGTTTCATAACAGTATTCTTCCAATTGAATTGTAGTCCATTAGTGAAACATGAAATTAAATTTGATGACCCAGATCAGGATTTGTTGTTTTGTTGTATTTTTTATTTATAAAATTTCTATTTGTTTTATCTTTCATTTTATTGTTGAGAGTTTCTATTTCCCCATTGCTTTCTTAATAAACGAGACCAAACTCACTGCCACCAAGTTGGTTCTGATTCATAGCAACCCTGTGGGATGGAGTAGAAGTGCGATATAGGGTTTCTGAGACTGTAAACCTTATGGAAGCGGCCAGCCTTGCATTTCTCTCTTAGCGTCACTGGTGAGTTTGAACTGCCAACACAGTTAGCAGCCCAGTGTTTAAGCCACTGCACCACCAGGGCTCCTTATTTTTCTAATGTTGTTGTTGTTAAATGCCTTTGAGTCGATTCCGAACTACACTGACCCTGTTTAGGGTTTCCAAGGAGCAGCTAGTGAGCTTGAACCACTGACGTTGCCGTCCAAACGACTTTAGCCCACAGCGCCACAGTTATTGTTAAATCCTTGCCAGATAATTCCAATGCTTATAATTTCTTGCTGTTGGTATCTTCTGGTGCCTTCTTCCATGTGATTTGGGTTTTTTGTGTTTTCTTGTTGTTGTTCTTTAAATGCCAAATCATTTTGGACTATAATCTGAGATTTATGTATTTCATTTAAATTATGTGGAGAATATTAATATTTCTTCATTTATTAGGCAATCTATCCGGTTAGACTTGGGTCACAAGTTCTGGTCCTCTTTATGTTAGTTCAAGTTTTGAAACATTTGTTTTTGCTTTGTATTTTAATGGATAGAATTGTAGAAAATAGAATGGAATGGAGTACATCAGACTTTTTGTTTTAAATTTCTATCTAATTTTGATGCATGATATAAAATATATATTTTGCCATGGTTTAAAGAAGTTAGAAAACCTCTTTTCTAAAGCCCATTTGCTAGTAGATTTATGACGTATTAATTTTTTTGTGGCTGACAATGTTGATCAATTACTTTAGACAGATGTTGAAGAGTGGACTTCGTGGGATGAAGATGCACCTACAAGTGTAAAGATTGAAGGAGGGAATGGGAATGTGTCAACACAACAGAATGCTTTGGAACAACTGGAACCAGACTATTTTAAGGACATGACACCAAACATAAGGAAAACTCAGAAAGTATGTTAAAGATTTGTGCTTTTGGACACTAAATTACTGTTGAAATCCCTAGAGTTAAAATTCTTGTTGTTAGGTGCCATCGATTTAATCCTGACTCATAGTGCCATCTCCTCACAATCATGCTTGAGCCCGTTGCTGCTGTCACTGTGGTAATTCATTTCATTGGGGCTCTTCTTCTGTTTCACTAACCAGGTTTTACTTTACCAAGTATGATATCTTCTCCAGGAACTGGTCTCTCCTGATAACATGTCCAAAGCATGAGAGACGAAGTCTCACCATCTTCCTTTCTCAGGAGCATTCTGTCTATACTTCTTCCAAGACAGATTTGTTTTTTTTTCTGGCAGTCAATGGTCTTTTTAATATTCTTCTCCAACCCCAAAACTCAAATGCATACATTTTTTACTTAATCATTGTCTAACTTTCACATGCACATGAGGCGATTGAAATTACCATGGCTTGAGTCAGGTGCAACTTAGTCCTTAAACTGTTGTCTTTGGTCTTTAACACTTGAAAGAGGTCTTGTACAGGAGATTTGCTTTTACAATACGTGGTTTGATTTCTTGACTAATGCTTTCATGAGTATTGATTGTGGATCCAAGCAAAATGAAGAGTTAAAATTAGATATATTTCAAATTATTTATTAATTTATTTTTCAAAGTATATATCAACTTGTCAATCTGTTATGTTAAGGATATGACATGACATATGTCATGCACCGGACGGCAAGGGCGATTTGAGCTTAAAGGTCAGTGGTTCAAATTCACCATCTGCTCCTTGGAAACTGTATAGATTCGCTATGAGTCAGAACGGACTTGACGGCACATAACAACAACAATATCACACTTAATGGAAGTTGCAGTTGAGAAATTAAACAATGTATTACATTAGAGGTCTGCTGTACATCTTTAAAGTGTTGAAGAGCAAAGGTGTCAGTTTGATGATTAAGGTGTGCCTGACTCAAGCCATGATATTTTCAATAACCTCAAAAGTTGGACAGTGAATAAGGAAGATCATCGAAGAATTGATGTGCATTTGAGTTATGGTGTTGGAGGAGAACATTAAAAGTACCACGGACATCCAAAAGGTTTGTTTGGTCTTTTGGATGTCCATGGTACTTTTAATATGTTTAATATGTTGGAAGGTGTACAGTCAGAATGCTCCTTAGAAGCCAAGATGGCCAGACTTGCCTCTCATACTTTAGACATATTTATCAGGAGGGACCTGTCACTGGAGAAGGACATCATGCTTGGTAAAGTGGAGGGTCATTGAAAAACAGGAAGACCCCCAAATAGAAGAATTGGCACAGTGGCAGCAGCAATGGGCTCAAACAGAGCAACATTTATTTGATTCATGCAGAACCAGGTAGTATTTTGTTCTGTTGTGCTATGAGTCAGTACCGATTTGATGGTACCTATTGTTGTTACTGAGTGCCGTCAAGGCGGTTTCAACCCATAATGACCATGTATAGGACTTCCGAGGAGTGGCTGGTGGGTTTGAACTGACGACCTTACAGTTCAAACTGACCTTGTAGTCCAGCACATTATCCTGCAGCACTACACCAGGATTCCTTTTTAAATCACATCTAAGCATTTATTGAAATCCTATTTTACATCCAATTCTAAACTCCATTCTCTGATGTGGAAACTAAGCTGAATGAGCTCTGCAGATAGATCCTTAGAAGAGTTCAGAGTGTAATTGGCCTACAATTGATGGTTTGAGCTGTTTGTAACCATTATAAACCTTTTATGGGTTTGTGTTGTTGTTAAGTG